TATATAAAATCAACCAACAAATGGTTTATGTGCACTACTTTTCAAAAGTTTGGTGCCAGTAATATTTATTTATTTATTTATTTATTTTATTTTGTACTTTTATTCTGCACGGATGCAAATTTATCAAAAGTGATGGTAAATATATTTATAATGTTACAAAAGATTTCTTTTTCAAATAAATGCTGTTTTTTTTTTTTACTTTTATAATACTGAAAAAAGGTATCATGTTTTCCACAAAAATATTAAACAGCACAACTGTATTCAACATTGATAATAATTAGAAATGTTTCTTGAGCACTGAAGACTGGAATAAAGGCTGCTGAAAATTCAGATTTGCCATCAATGGAATAAATAACATCTTAAAATATATTAATATAGAAACAGCTATTTTAAAATGTAAAAATATTTCAAATTTTTTGTTCAAATAAATACAGCCTTATTAAGAATAACAGACTTCTTTCAAAATCACTAAAACATCATTCCAACCCCAGACTTGACGGCGGTGGTCTGTATGTATGTTTCTTCATATTAGGCTGGGAAAGGAGAACGTTTTTTCACATAGTTAATAAGAATAAATAAAGAAATAAATGACATCACCACCAAGTCAAACCAAGTGGCCTGTAATATTTATAATTCCCTAAATCATTAAATGAAAAAGAGTGTAACGTTCACATACATAAATTGCAGCTGTCATTGTTAAGTCTGTTAATTATTTACTTGTTACTCTGATGAGGTGGGCCAAAATGCATTTGAATCTCAAAAATATGCTCATACATAAATATTTGTTCATCTGCTGAGCTCGGGGTGGGGAGCCAATGTTTTGGAAAGCGGCCTGCTCTCTGTCTCCGCTCGTTGAGATATTCCCCTGGTAGAACATTAATAAAGCCTGACCCCTCCCCAGTACTATTACCAGGGCTTAATGCTTCATTTGTATCCGAGCCTGGTGAAATCTCATTTGTGAAGTTGAGGTTACTACACTGAAGGCAAAAACAGCTTTCACAGAATATTAATATTATTGTATTGCACTACAAAAAATTATGTATAAAAAAGCAAATTTTACATATATAATAATTCCATATTAAATATAGCATGCCACAGAGCAGGATACATCAACAGTCTGGGCCCAAATCCTGTGTCTGCACTGCATGAAATGCACAAGCACATGTAAACACAAATTATCACCTTCGCTTAGGAAGACAGAATTACAAAATTACACATTTGTGGGGAAGCAAGAAGGAAAAAATAAAAAACACAGTATCACACTTAAACACACACACATTGCATCATGAGCTCCTCTCCATTACCCCGTCAGCTCAGTTACAAAGCCAGGCATCATGTTTCTGATGGGGTGAGGGAGAGAGACAGCGTTCCCGCACGCTCTCACAGAGGCACGGATCTTTACGTGCAGGAAACGATCGACTCGGAAAGCTTGTTAGTGTTATTATTTTAATTATGTTGATTGCTTCCATATCCACTCCAGCAGTTATGAGGCAGAGGCAGAGGCACTATTGGACGGCTCTCACTCGCTCTGTATTGAAATAACTGCTATGGAGGTGACAAACACGCACACACAGACAGCAGAGCTGTGTAAATCAGTCGCTAATGGACAGCTACAGCACACGGTCTCACAACGGTCTCCGTTAAACACACTGTTTGACATGTTCTCGTCACAGAGCGGAGAGAAATAAAAGGAAAAAAGCATGCAAGCCAGAAACAACCCTAGTTCTGAAACAATTCTGGATGTAAAAACACTCTCCACTTTTTTTTTAATCAATAAATACAGTCTCACAGAACTGCTTTAACAATAAACCACTCATAGCAGGAGCTGAAGGGTTTGTAATGATGACATTTCCGAATACGAGAGCGCCGTCTTTCTATGCAGTCGGTGGCTCAGTCTGCGACCCTTTGCACACTGCAGGCTTAATGCGATACAGCATTATAAGTCTAATTATGTTAAATGAAAAAAGTAACCCCAGGCTAAAATCCTCACAGCTCAAGGGCCTGAACACTTGAGGGAAATAGATACTAAGCACAGAGACTCAAACTCTGAAATCATCTGCTAATGAACATGCAGAGGAGAAGAACTGCCAATACACAGGTCACAGCAGGATCTGCTGAGATATTGAGGAGTTAGCTGACGTGTGTGTGAGTAGAGAGGTGAGTGATGCCTTCACATGTGTATCTCAATAAAACAATCGTCTCGCAGTGAAAAATAATGATCGATTATAATGATTGATTAAAATGTTAAATCTGTAAATTTTACAGAAAGCATTGCAAATATGTCATTTACAATGCATTTAACTCCCGTAACGTGACATACTTCAGAGGAAAACTGAATATTTAGTCTTCAAAAAAATTCAAATCAGCTATCAGGATTTGTTTATTACTATTAGTTACAACTATTTTTCCCACCCACCTGGCCTAGGTTACGTCAGCAAAAAGAGAAAATGTTTCAGAGGTCAGTGAAGTTATTAACCATCGTTAAAGATGCATAATTAACATCGAAGTATCAGGTTTATATTGCATGACTTCTGAGCTGATGCTAAATAAATTTTAGTAGCATGCAAGTCCTGCATGAAAAATGTCATAATACTTTGAGCTCTGATGAATCCCAGCTATAAAATCTAATTAATTTTCACATACATTACTAGGATTTTCCACACTCACTCTTGCAAATTGTAGATTTAAATATGTTTTATTACATTTTTCTACAATGTATTGGACAAGAAACTTTATTCAATGCGTTGTTGAAAAATATAATAATACTAATTTAATACCTGTCAAAAGATTTTGATTAGGTCAGGAGACCGTATTAAATAAATACAAAAGGATAAGATTAAGATTAATAAAATAAAGGAATTAATATTATTATTCTTGCAAATTGTAGATTTAAATATGTTTCATTACATTTTTCTACAATGTATTGGACAAGAAACTTTATTCAATGCGTTGTTGAAAAATATAATAATACAAATTTAATACCTGTCAAAAGATTTTGATTAGGTCAGGAGACCGTATTAAATAAATACAAAAGGATAAGATTAAGATTAATAAAATAAAGGAATTAATATTATTATTTATATAATTTGATATTGTGAGTCTCTGCAGCCCCCAAAATGACATCAATGAGAGTAAAGAAAATTAATAGATTCATTCTGATTTCATAATATCTTTGATGTACACTGGCATTCAAAATTTTGAGATTTTTTTCTCGAAAGTATTTTCTCATGCAACAATAAAGCAAATTATTATAATGATTTAAAAAATCTATTTTAATATTTTAAAATGTAATTTATTTATTCCTGTGATGCAAAGCTGAATTTTCAGCATCATTGCTCTAGTCTTCAGTTACACAATCCTTCAAAAATAATTTTAAGATGCTGATTTGGTGTTCAAGAAACACTTCTCATTATTATCAATGTTGAAAACAGTTGTGCTGCTTAACAATGATATATTTTTTTTTCAGCTTTTTCAAAATAGTTCAAAATAACAATTATTTGAAATAGAAATCTTTTGTAGCATTATAAATGCCTTTACTGTCACTTTTGATCACTTGAATGCATCCTTGCTGAATAAAAG